GCTATGTCATTCACACACACACACACATAGATATATATATATATATATTTATATATATATTATGAGTCCGCTCCCGTTCCGTTTTGCTAGGCTTTCGCCTCACGGCGAACCCTAGTGTCTGCTACACAGATTTCTCGCTTCGTCTATCGTTTTCTTCGTCGGTGCTCGTGTCGTCGCGTTGTCACGTTTCTGGTGGCAGAACTGTGCTTCGTGTTCGTCGAGTCGTCTCGCCGTGTTGCGGTCTGGCGACAGAGCTGTTCATACGGGCCTTGCGCTCTAGCGTCAGCTCAACACTGCTTTGCTCGACAGTTGAGCCGGATCTCAACTCGACACTGCTCTGCTTGACAGCTGAGCCAGGTCTAAGCCAGCCATCTACTGCTTCCTTGCAGTGTCTTGACTGCCTTTCTTCATGGCAGCTTTTCATTCCTCTCTTGGGACTGAACCTACTCCGAAGGTAGACAAACCCTCATATGCTACAGTGGTTCACAAACACAACTCCTCTTTTCACCTCGCAGATAGTGTGACATTCCCACAGATTTATCATGATCCTGTTGCAGGAAATGATGATTGCAATCTAATAAAAAAAGTTGAGAAAAAGACCGGCAAACCGACAATTTTTTTCTCTGACGCTGAAATTTCAACCGTGCAAGAAAATATAAATTTACAATAGTTGGAAAATTCCAATTAGGTTGCCCTAAGATGGAGATCATCAAGAAAGTTTTTGAAGATTTCAAACTGATTGGGGATTGGCAGGTGAGTCATTTTGATGGAAGACATGTTATAATACAACTGAGCATAGAAGATTACACGAGGATTTTCTTGAAAAATTCATCACAATTGTGGGCAAACATATGAAATTGCTCAAATGGATTCCTAATTTGATCCCAGTCAAGAACCCCCAATTGCACATATCTGGTTCTCATTACCTGAACTTAAGTTTCATTTCTTTGACCTACCTGTCTTATATACAATTGGGACTATCATTGAAAAACCTCTGCAGGTAGACTTACCTACAATTCATTTCTCAAGGCCCTCTATTGCACGAATTTTGATTGAACGAGATATTACACTACCAGATATAGAAGTAGTCTGACTTGAATTTGCTCACAATGGTTATTAACAAAAAATCATTATGGAACAAAAACCATACTACTGCAAGCACTGCAAGATAAAGATGTTTGGATACGGGCAGGAGAAATGTTTCAGATTGCACCCACAGTTGAGAACCAAAATTTAAATGCAGGAACACACTATTAGTGCACCCCTTGTGCTTGAACGCGCTCTCAACTAACCTGATGACAACTAACCTGAAGAAGGAATCACCACAAGACAGGAGTTGGTATTTGCCCTTGGGATCTCTTCTCCTGACCATACTATAACGGATAATGTTGGAACCAAAAAATCAGGATAGTCCCGCAGCTCCTATTTAGGAAGTGTCAGGTGCAGAGGTAACAATTCACACTTCACATACACTGGAACCTATCGCGGTGACAACGACTGTCTTTCCTTCTACTGCGATTCTAACATCAAATCTGACCGAGGATTATATGAGCCAGTCTTCAGATGAAGAATGACAGGTTTACACTTCTCGGCGAAAGAAGAAGACTGGGGGCATACTTCAACTTGAAAACTTAATGGATGATACTCTGGTTACTCCCGACAATGACGCGACTCTTCAAAGTTTGTTTTCTGGCTCCGTTCCTAAAACTAGAGGAAGAGACAAGACTAAACTGGCTCGTCCTTAGTTACTTGTTTTTTGCATGTTTTAAATTTATTTTACATTTTATTGAGTCTATCTCTATCTTTTTGTTGGGGTATTACTGTACTTGTATCGTATGGTAGGATGTCTCTGTTGGAATCTTCTCATACAACCTTTATGTATCATTTTCTATTTTAATAAAATCAGCCCTTGGGCTTTTCAAAAAAAATAATATATATATATATATATATATATATATTAATTTGGGGTCATTACATACAGAGCACCCAAGACATTGCTATTTACAAATCAAGCACTCTCTTATATTTAAATTCTCAATCAAATATCAAAGGTTGTGATAAAAGTCCAACCCTTTTTTTTCATTTTGATTAAATTCATAATGGTTTGATCGTGACACATAAATGCATGGGTTTCATTGTTCAAAAAATTACATAAGTGCTTGATTTATAAATAGCAATGTTTTGGGTGCCCTGTATGTAATTGTCCCTATTAATTTTCAGTTAGACACCAAACAAATATTTGTTAAGCCTTCAGAAACTCAAAAAAAAAAAATCAAAATGGATTCAACCTCTTACTCAAAATTCAACTAAGAAATTATGGGGCATTTATTTTAGTTATGTTTTTGGGCTCTTCTCATACAACCTTTATGTATTTTTTTTTTTTCAATAAAATCAGCCTTTGGGCTTTTCAAAAAAAAAAAAAACATTAATATATATATATATATATATATATATATATATACACACACACACACACACACACACACATAACTACATAATGTATGTATGTATTATATATATACATACATACATAATGTATGTATGTATTATATATCTATATATCTATGTATATGTATGTATGTAAAGAGATATGGGCATACACATTCAAACTTAGTTCTTCTTTTACATGTGCATGGAGTGCAATCTTCATTTTGTACGTTGTCTATGTAATGCTTTTGTTCTCCTTTTGTTACATTATATGTTACTGTACCATTTGTTGTACTGTTTTTCAGGAACTCCAATGCAGTGACTGGTCTTCTCGTCCCCTTACTGAAGGGCAAATATCGTATGCTGCAGCAGATGCATATTACCTGCTTGAAGTGTTTGCTATATTTGAGCATGAGTTTCTGACCAAAGGTTCATACTCGTAATTCCTCAATCCTTCTCTGCTTACTGTGCAAGCATAAATTAACAAGCGTTACTTTTTTGCAGACCAAATCAAAATGGTCGTTTGTGCATACTTTTAAGTTTTTACATATTTGGAAGCTGATTTAGGGGTTGTTTGGTGGCCGGTTTTAAACAGGATTTATACAGGAGTTATGTTAAGTCCTGCCAAACAGCAAAAAAGTCAACGGTAAATCCTACAGATTCTTAAATCCCATTTTTCCTCCTTCTTTTCCTTAGAGCCGGGATTTACTAAATCCCGTTGGGAGAGGGATTTACAGGAATTTATGAGATTTGAAGAAACTAAGGCTGGGAGAAATTAAATCCTATTAAAGTTGTGAAACAATTTCTTTGGATCTATTAGAATTTATTTATTAACTTACCAAACAGTTTTGAGCGTTTAACCCTTTCAAGCTTTTATAAATATAGATTTACATGTTTTACTAAATCCTATTTGCAATGAAAAAACCCCTTAGTGTTATGATTATTTGCAGTTATTTAAATCTATATTAGGGCATCATTATTTATTTTTCACAACTTCATACGCATGCACATTCTGATAGTAAAATTGTGTTGAAATATTGTCCTTATAGTTATTATGCCAATCCATATCGCAGCTTTAAGCATTTTTATAAATTGATAAACAACCATGGCTGTGATAGCTAGTTTTGTTTTGTCACCAATTAATACCATAGGTAACCCAACTTGCAATGGAAAACACAGTAGTATTGCTGAAATTCAACGACGGTTACACTACGTCCCTTAAAACAGGAATAAAATAGCACAAAGGGCAAACAATTCCCTTGGGTGAGGCTTAGAGAGGTGAAATCTAGTTTGACAGCAGGCGGGATGGTGAGGAGGTGAGTGGCGTCAGTAGCAGGGGCTGTTGGAAGGCTGGCGGTAGCAACAGGAAATGCTGGACTGATTACAACAATAATAGGAGAGGATGGAGTTGTTTGCGACTGCTACAGGCAAATATGGGGAGGGTTGCGACAGCCATAGGATGATTTGAAGAGGATGGCGATGACAATAGGAAGTGGGGGAGGTTTTCAACAAAAACAGGCGAGAGGCAGGGCCTGGTGGCAAGGAAACAACAGAAGCAAGGCGTGCGGGTGGAAGGACAGTGAGTAGGAGGGGGGTAGGTGAGGGTATAAGAGGAGGGAAATCATGACGGAGCACCACCTGTCCTCGGATACGGTCCTAGCTTGGGAGAAACATTGATGGCAAAAAATCTGAGACCAAAAACTGAAAACCCTAATCAGAAAATATATAATATATATAGCCATAAATAATTGAAGGAGGGAGGCCCCCTCCTCTTGAGCGGAAATTCTATGCTATGTAAGGGACCAATTGGCCCTTGCACTCGAAGTTTGAACCGACTGAAATTCTATGCTATGTAAGGGACCAGTTGGCCCTTGCACTCGAAGTTTGAACCGACTGAACTCATCCCCATCGGTTCAACCCTATGCACCCCACATCAGTCTCTCATAGTTGGGGAAGCTTCTACTTCATTCGTCGAAGCTTTTGGTTCCTTGTAGCATAAAGTCAAATCTGACACATTGAAGGTAGCATATATATTGTAGTCTCATGGTAGGTTGATCTTATAGGCATGTCGTTCATGTTCTTGAGAATCTTGAAAGATTCGTCTGCTTTGGGCATGGGTTTGCTAAAAACTCTCGGGGAACCTTTTTTTCTTCAGCCGAATCCACACTAGGTCTTCTTCTTGAAAAGTGTCCGTTTTTCTGATCTTATTCTTCTATGCCTATTACTTGTGTTTCTGCTTAGTGATCTTTTTTCTCACCTCGTGTAGTTTCGGAATCTCTTGCACCTGTTTCTCAATATCCTTACTAATATCTGATGTTGACAAGAGAGGTAACAAGTGAAGTGGAGTGAGCTATAGTATCTCAAATGGAGTTCGTCCTGTAGTCTTCTCACAGATCCGTTGTAAGCAAACTCGGATTGAGCTAGAGTCAAATCACACTACTTAATATTCTTTCCTACAGAGCATCTTATAATGTTTTCTCAAGCTCCTGTTCACTATCTCCATCTGACCGTCTGTCTGTCTGTGCTGCTCAACTGAATTGAAGCTAGTGCTTAGTTTCCCTCACAACCAAAATTAACTCAGAAACTTGACACTCACGTCAGAAGTGATGGCCTTGTGTATCTCATGCAGTTTCACAATCCCTCTGAAGTACAAGTCGGCTAAATGTGATGCAATTAGCGTCCGAGGAGGGTACGAAATGTGTCATTTTTTAAAGTTGATCCACCACAACCTTCATAGAGTCATTGTTCCGCTGTGTTCCCAGGAGACCCCCACAAAATCCATCCTAACATGCACCCACAGTATCTCTGGGGCTGGTAATGGGGTGTATAGTCAGCATTATGTATCCTGGTTTTGGCTATATGACAAATCCGACATTTCCTAACTCGTTGCTTCACATCTCTCCTCAGTTGAAGCAAAAAATTGTTCTCTCACTAGTGCGGGAGACTTTTCCCTACCAAAATATCCTGCAACTCCACTGTGGCTTTCCCGAACAATGGATTCCCTCAACAAACATCTATGAATAAATAACTTACTCTGTTAGAACAAGTAACCATCAACTCTGTAGTACTGCTCGGTAGGCTTCTTCTGACATTGCTCCTAGATTTCTCGAAAACTTTGTTTGTCCTGTACAGTTCCTTCACCACCTCAAAGCCCACGACTCAAGCCTGCATCACAGTGATCTGCAAGTGACGACAACTCAATGCCTCTACTACGTGGTTCTAGCTCTTTGCTTTGTGCTTAAACACGAACTGGAAACTCTAAGAACTCCTCCCAAGATGCGTGTCGGCTCTTCAGTTTGTCCTGGTCGTTTAAGAATTTCAAAGTCTCTTGATCTGTGACCAATGTGAACTCGCTCGTTAGTAGGTAATGACTCTATTGATGAAGAGCTTTCACAATAACATAGAATTCCTTATGGGACTCATTCAATTTCTCACTGTAGAAGGTTATCGGGTGGTCTCCCTGACTCAACAGTGCTTCTATCCCCACGTTGGATGCATCACACTCGACCTCGAACATCTTATTGAAATCCGGTAATGCCAAAACTGGTGCCTGAGTCACCTTCTCCTTCAATGTGTTGAAATTGGTCCGAGCTACATCTGTCCAATGGAATTTCTCTTCCAAAAGCTCTGTTAGGGGACCGGTGATGGTACTGAAACTTCTGATGAATCTCCTGTAGAATGATGCTAATCCCAAAAACTGTCTCCGCTCAGTGAATGGTTGCGGTGTGGTTCAGCTCACAATGGCTTTGATCTTCATAGGATCCATCCGAATGCTTGCACTGGACACAATATAACCCTAAAAGTATACATGTGTTGTCAGAAAGTGAAGTTTTTTTTGGATGGGCACATAGCTTTTCTAATTGCAAAATTATGAAGATTGTCCTCAGGTGTTTTAAGTGCTTCTCTTCGGATCTGTTGTATACCAGTGTGTCATCAAAGTATATAACTATGAACTTCCCAATGTATCAATCTTATGAATGTGCTGGACGCATTAGAAAGTCCGTACGCACGACTTCCTACTTGTATAATCCATCCCGGGTCTTGAAAGCAGTCTTCCCCTCTTCACTTGGTCTCATTCGAATCTAGTAGTGCTCACTGCGTAATTCGTTTTGGAAAAGATAATGACTCCGTACAACTAATCCAAGAGATCATTCAGGCGAGACATGTGGAATCAATACTTGATAATAATCTTGTCAATGACTCAAATATCCATGCATATCCTCTATGACCCATCTTTCTTGGCTACCATCAGGGCGGGGACAACACATGAACTTGTACTCTCTCTAACCAAACCTCTGGAGATGATATCTTGTATCTGTTGCTGCAACTCCTCGTACTCTGCAGGACTCAATATGTAGACATGTCAATTTGGTAACACTAATCAGGTTTCTAGATCTATAGCGTGCTGAATGTCCCGCAGTGGTAGAAATCTCTTTTGAAGTCTGTCGGTCATCACGTCCGGAAAGTCACTTAGTAGTGGCCATATGGTGTTGATATTTCAATCTCCTCCTTAGTTCCCTCTACTAGGACCAATATCATTGCCACTGGAGCATCCCAGATTGATTTTATGAAGGTTGCTCTCAGGACTACCGCCTCCTCTGTGACATCTATGCTACTCGTGTCCTTGACAGGTGAAAGCATGATGGGCCTCCCATGCTTTTTAAATGAATAAGTATTCTTGAAGCTGTCTTGTTGGATCTTGCGGTCGAACTACCATGGTCTCCCCAACAGGATATGACAAGCGTCCATAGGAATCACATCGCACCACACTTGCTTTTGTAGTTGATTTCTAATAAAAAAATCTGACCAAGCACTGCTGATCAACGCATATCTCATTTTCCCTTTTCAAGAAGAAAAGAGATTAGGATTGAGGATGCTTCTGTGTGGCCAACAGTAGTTTTTTCACCATCAATGAATACTACATTTTTACAGCTCCCACCGCTGATAATCAAACTGCTAACTTTGCCCTTCACCGTATACTTGATGCAAAAAATACCGTGCCTCAGTCATGAATGATCCTTCTCCGACTCCTGCTGCAGAACTCTGTGTATATAACTAGCTTCTTTCCCTTGTCTCCCTGGAGCCGAAATTCTTTCGATTTCTCCTCTGATTTCTCCACTTCCTCGACGACGCCCTACTTCGTGAATGAAACAAAGGGGCTCGTAGGACAGCTGGGGGCTCTGTGTCCGTGGCCGTGACATATGAAATATCTCTTGCCAGGTAGTGTATTGGGTGAGCTACTCTTTTCTGGCTTCTTTCCACTCAGATCTGTCTTATCTCCTCACTGTCTAGTCTTTCCAACTCTTCCAGAGATACCCTTGTTAGTAGCTCTATCTGCTAGTGATTGCCTAAATGAGGACTGCTGTCTGAATGAGGGCTGTTATTCGCTCTATTTCAGTTGTCTTTCCACCTTAAAAGCTTAGGTTTGT